CGCCTCAGGGGTGGGGGTGGATTTGGGGGGTGGGGGTAAAAGGCCTTTGCCTCGGTGGTGGGGTGGGGTGGGGGCAAGACGCCCTCACCTCGGGGGTAGGATGAGGCCTTATCTTCATTCAGCACCAGGAAGTCATCATCATCGGCATCGCTCAGTAAAGCCTTATCTTCATTTAGCACTGAAAGTCATTATCATCGTCATTGCCTAATGATGCCTTATTTTCATTCAATAATGAAAATTCATCATCATCGTCATCACCCAGTGAGGCTTTATTTTCATTAAGCACCGTAAAGTCATTATCATCGTAATTTCCTAGTGAGGCCTTATTTTCATTCAGCACTAGAAATTCATCATCATTGCCATTTTCCAGTGAGGCATTATCTACATTCAGCACCAGGAAGTCATCATTATCGCCATTGCCTAGTGAGACCTTATCTTCATTCAACACTAGGAAGTCATAATCATCGTCATCGACTAGTGAGACCTTATCTTCATTCAACACCTGAAGTCATCATCATCGTCATTACCTAGTGAGGCGCCATTTTCATGGGCTAATACACACAAAAAATTGAATTTTTTTGTTAATTCCTAAAAGTGAGTTTGTAAATACATAGGCGTTTAAAATGGTGTGAATATACGTGGTGGTTCCCAACTCATTACAGAGGTCTTAAAAAAGTTTTTTTAGAAAGAAATTTTGGGTGCTCCAGGGGTTCCAAATTCATGGCTAATACATACGAAAAATTGAGAGATTTTTGGTAATTTCTAAAAAAGGATCTGTAAACGCGAAAATAGATGTTAAAAAATGGAGTGAGTATACATGGTGGTTCCCCAACTTATTACGGAGGTTTTCATAAAGTTTTTTGAAAAAAAATTGGGGTGCTCAGGGGCGCCAAATCTATTGGATAATACACACAAAGATTCGAGGAATTTGGTAATTCCTAAAAAAGGGTTTGTAAATGCATAAATAGGCGTTAAAAATGGTGTGAGTATACGTGCTGGTTCCCCAACTCATTACTTATGTCCTTATTAAGATTTTTATGGAAAAAAAAATTGGGTGCTCCGGAGCACCAAATTCATGGGCTAAATAAATTGACTTCGTCTCTTTTTCATTAAATAAATTAAAAAAATACTTCATTCATCCTTATTAATTCACCGATATGTGTACATATATAAATTATAATATAAGTAATTTAGTATATGTATTCATTAATTTAGTATACGTGTATAAGTAATTTAGTATATGCATGGACGTATATAAGTAATTTAGTATATGTATTGAGTAAGAGTTTCACCTATAATACTATTCCAATCATGCTATTAGCTAATTAAATTTTTTACCGATGTTAAAGCATGCAATTTTTTATGATGTTATGAAGTTCAAAAAAGAATTATATATATACAATTTGTATCTATTCTTACGATATTGACTAATGTCTACTTTAATTTAATGAATTTCAATAAACACATTTAATTCACATCCTTTAGTGCAAGTGGAGAATCTGATTTGATAATAATAAATACTTTATAAGAATTTCAGTACGCACAATAATATATTTTCCTTTTCAAGATAGTTTTTTGATAAATTTATATAATGCAATTGAGATTTATAATGCACAAATAAACTCTTGAATTATTTTATTGATTTCCTTAATTTATTTTGATATAATAGATTTATTCTAAATACAAGATATTTAGAATTAAATTTAAATTTAAATTTAAAAAAGAAAAGAATAAATAAATAAATAATAAATAAAATCAATAGAGTAAAAAGAGTAAAGCAATCAAAAGAAGAAGAAGAAGTTTAAATGTAAGGCATGCAATATTTTTTTAAATTTTTTTTACATGTATTAATTTAGTTAAAATATAAAGCAAAGAAAACAAAGAAATGTTTATTTAAAATTAAAAAGAAAAGAAAAAATATAAATAAATTAAAAATAAATAAAATAAAAAATTATACACTCGACACATGTATATCACTATTAATACTTGAATTGGGTCTTGGCTCCATGTCAGCATAAAATGAGCATGAAAACTAATAAATTAGTCTAGAGGAGGGGGGGGGGGGGTGAGGTAATAGGATCCTACTTAAGTTTAAATATGTTGTTGGAATTTTGAATATAATTCGGGATGGTACTTGTGTTTTATCCCTCCTAAATATATATATATTTTTAATATGTAACTAATGTTTCTTAATATTATTTAATATTTAATAAATAAAATATGATAAAATTAAGTAAGTACATTAAAATATTTCCCTTTTTAACTTGAAATTTCAAATTTAACTAATTTTTTTTATTATTATTATTTAACTAATTTTATTGAGTGCATATCCTTTTTAAGTATTTGATAAAATTACTTTTATGATTATATTTTTTATTCATGCTACTTTCCATATACAATATGGTAAGAAATTTAATTTATTTTAAAATTTTCTTTTTGTATTAACTAATGTTTCTTCAAATTATATTTATATTTGATAATTAAAATATGATAAAATTAAGTAAGTATATTAAAATAGTTTTCTTGTTAACTAGAAGTTTCAAATTTCACTAATCTTATTGAGTGCATATCATCTTTAAGTATATGATAATTTAATTTTTTATAGTTAGATTCTTATTTATGTTACTTTCCATATATAATATGGTAAGAAATCTAATTTATTTATATTGGGGGAGAACTTATGTGTATAAATATCATGGGAATATATCATTTATAAGTACCATTTCTTGAAATTAGTTCACCAACGAAGTTTATGTTATTCTAGTAATGGAGGGTAATAAGACTATCGGACATCAAAAAATTTCCATGGAAAAAATAGAAAATGAAGCTGCTCGATATGCCTCATTTTTAGAACATCGATTGAGTTTATATAAGTTGGCTGGTGATCTCGTTCAACAACATGATGTTGATATAGGAATAGTTCTTTCTTCTCTGACGAATAAGCCTTGTTCATTTTTTCATCCAACTGTTGAAGTAGTTTCTCAGCGTTTGATGAATCCAAATGTAGAATTAGGTGACACAACAAAACTTGCTGCAACATGTGTTCGAAACAATGTGAATGAAATAGAATATAAACTAGCAGAGTTGAAAATTAGGGAAGATGTTGCAAGCAAGCAAAGCGTTATACTTGACCAAGCCAAAGAGATGAGAGAAATTGGTTGGTGGGAGGATGTAGAAAAACTCAAAACTGATGAGGTGATTCGGTTTGAAGCTTGGCTAGATGTTGCTGATTTTAACATGAAAAATCGTCTGAAACAATTGGAAAATGAAGTTGCATCTAATGCTTCATAAGTAGATTCATCTCCACATTAGTTTTTGAAATTTTATTATTTGTTCTGCTTTTATTTTTTAATTAATTTTATTTTCCTTTATATTGATGATGCTAGCTATTATATGTACTCTACAATGATATTTGTTATAAAATACTATTTCTATTTTTATTTTTTCTCTTACATGTTTGGTCTCATTTTTTTTATGTTTTGTTTTATAAGTATTTCAGGTAAAGTATATTACTCAATTTATTGTGTTTTTGCCTTTTTTGTGATATAAAATTTTAAAAAAAGTTATATGTTTAATTCTTACCGTCACTCATTGATAAAAAATTTTACATATATTTAATACTTAAAATATATAAATAAATAAATTACACTAAACATTAGACTTTTGAAGAATACATGGTCAATCATGTAAGAGAAAAAATATATTATTTTAATGAGAATAATATTATTTCATAATAAATATCATTGTAGAGTACATGTAACAACATCATCAATATAAAATCAAAAAGTTTGTAAAATAAGTTGAACCAATAATAGAATTTAAAAAATTAATGTAGAGATAAATCTATTTATGAAGCATTAGATGCAATTTTATCTTCAAATGTTCCCGAAGATATTTCATGTTAAAATCGGTAATTTTTAATCAAGCTTCAAGTTTAATTAACTCATTAGTCTTGAGTTTATAAATATCCTCCCACCCACCAATTTCTTTCATATGTTTCACTTGATCAAGTATAATTGTTTAATTGCTTGCAACATCTTCTCTAGTTTTAAACTCTACAGATTAATATTCGATTTCATTCACCTTATTTAGAACATGTGTCGCAACAAATTGTGTAATGTTATTTAATTCTATATTTGGATTCAAAAAACGGTGAGCAATTGCTTCAGTAGTTGGATGAAAAGATGAATAAGATTTATTCGTTGGAGAAGAAAGAACTATTCCTTTGTCAACATTGTGTTGTTGAATGAGTTCACCAACCACTTTATAGAAACTCAATCAGTGTTTCAAAATGAGGCATATCGAGCGGCTTTGTTTTATATTTTTTTCATGAAAATTTTTTGACGTCCGACAATATTCTTACCCTTCATTACTAGAATAAAATAAACTTTGTTGATAAACTAATTACATGAAATATAATACTTATAAGAGATAGAATACCATGATATTTATACACATATATTCTTCCCCCAATATAGATTAATTAAATCTCTCACCTTATTCTTCCTTTCTTGATAGTGCATCTGCTATTCTATTCTCAACTAGGGTTGGGCATAATATGGTTAAAATAAAAAAAATCCAATCGAACCGAATATTTTTAATTTCGGTTTTAATATCATATTTCAATATTTTGATTTTTCGGTTCGATTTTTAATTTTTTTGGCTGAAGAAAATCGATTATAACCGTAATAAACGAAATATATATTTCAATATATATATATATATATATATATATATATATATTCTTTAGTCTTTATATCCTATTAACTAATCAGTATTCAACCCATGCCCCATAGAAGAGAGAAATCCTAAACTAAAATCCCTAACGCCTACGCAGCTCATCCCTCAAGTCTCAACTCTCAACTCTCGTCAGTCACTCTCAGGCCAGCTGCTGCTCAGTTCTCGCAGGCGTCGCAACCCACAGCCCGCAGCCCGCAGCCCGCTACTCACCGGCCAGTGGTCACAGCCCGCAGCCGCTGCTCAGTTCTCGCAGGAGTCGCGCCTCGAAGGTACTAGTTTGTTTTCTCTGTGAATATACTGTATTACTAGTTTGTTTTAACCATTTGTTCGTAAATTTTATTGACTCGATTAATTTGAATCTGAATTTAAATTCATCAGCGGGATAGGCTGCAGGGATACAATGTTCTCCACCTAAAAGTTATCAAGACTCAAGCTTATTTGATATTTTGTAATGAAAATCTTAATTCCACTACTATTTCGCAACTATTCTTTTTCATGTTCCAATATACTCTGATTCATAATCTTTTTTTTTTTTATGCTAAATCAATAATGGAATCTAATAAACTTGTGGAAAACAACACGAGTAGCACTCTAGGAGCTCACATTAGAGTTTTTTTTTATTCATTGAATGTAACTATGTGATTATTTGTGTGATCTGTGAACTGTAAATTGTAATGTACTGCGTCTTTCTGTAATTAAGTTGCAACTCTGTTGACATTTGTGTTAAATGAGTATTCATGAAGTAGTGTTGAGTCATGAGTGTCTATCATCCTTAGAATCAGTTTTGTTTGAATATTTTAGTCAATGACATGGTAAGTTGCAAGTTGAATGCTTGTTGAAATTTGAAGGCAAAAGCCAAACTGTATGGCATAGATTGCTGGAGTTTGGAGATTATATCGTTGAGTGTTGATTGTTGTAGAAGTTAATGTTGATTGTTGTACAGTTAGTGATCATTTGAACAGCAGCACAGCCACCGCAGTCCACAGCCCACATGTGATGAGGTATTGAGGTGAAAACTTACCATTTGCACAAATTTGATATTTGAACAAGTAAAATGATGTCCTTTTGAGTTTAGTGATGGCCTAATTGGGCAGGCTGCAGGTCACTGCCTCACTGGTAGTCAATCACAACTCACAGGTCAAGTTGCAAATTTATATACAATGAGACAGACTTCCTGTAGGAAGTTGCAAATTTATATACAAGAATTTGGTGAATTTCTACCATTAATTTTTGACCTTCTATTGAACTGTCAATACATTTGCAAAGCCATAGAAATGGATGTGACTTATAAGAACATTAGAGGTTGAAGAAATTGAACAAAAGTGATTGAATTTTGAAAATGTACCACTGTTAATTAAATTTGGTTAACCAAACCAAACCGAAATTGTAATAACTGGACCGAACCGAATTTATTTCAGTTTGGTTTGGTTTCACATTTTTGCCAAACCATAAACCAAAATTTACAAACCGAACCGAACCGACCGAACGCCCAGCCCTAGTGGTGGCCAGTGTTATTAAAAGCGAAAAGCGCAAAAAAGCTCTAAGGTCCATGGGGGCTTTAAGTGCAAAGTGCAAATAAAGCGTGGGCTTTAATGAAAAAAGGCGCAAAGGGAGAAAAAAATAAAATGTGTATGTTTAGTCCAAAACTAATAATTATAAACATGAATGACAAATATATGACCAAAGAAATTGAACTTTTTTAATGATAAAGTGAAATATCAATTGTTTAGTGTCACTTCTTCATAAGAGGCTCATTGACAAGGAAAAGTTTGTCTTAGAACTTTGATGACGGCACTGAAGCGCACATAAAGCGAGGCGAAGCGCTTAACACGTTTTGAGCCTCGCTTTAGGGCTTAAGCGCGCTTAAAGCGCGCCTTTGATAACACTGGTGGTGGCTGCTCCCCACTGGGAAGAGGCAGTCAGCCATTGCTGGCGATGGCCATAGAGCTGGCCGTTATGCAATGGGGGGCAATAGATGAATGGAGGTTATTTTTGTAATACTTTTCTTATGGAGATAATATATTAAGACCAGTCCCTATAAGGCTCATTTATTTAACCCAAAAATATCGAGTAAGGTTTTGGGCCTAATGTGATATAAAAAAGGGGAAACTATATAAATGGGTCATAAAATCCAAAATAATTACAAGTTCATACCTAATCAATGTAATTCTTGAAATACCCATTTTCTCATAAATAATTACGGTCTGTACCCCCATTCATTAAGACTGATAATTTTCGCTTAACTAATACTAAATCAGTATCATATAGTATTGCTATCATTAAAGCTGATAATTTTCGCTTAACTGAATTAGTATCATATACTCTATTGATAGTAATGATAAAGATGAACAAATTATTTTTTAAAATTTTAGTTTCAAATTTAATATAACTACAAATTATATCTCCTTCATTTTTGGTTCGGTTTACTGTTTCTGTGTTCTACTTCGATGTGTTGGTTTGATCTGTAGTTCTAATTTTGATGGTCTTATTACTTTCTGTTTTAGTGAATTTAGGTTTAAGCCGCCCTTGCTGTATGTGGTACAATAGTTCATATTGTCTTGTGAACTTTTGCTGAGATATTGTGACATAGCTAGGAATAGTGAGAGATTTGCCTTCTGTGTCGAGTCCTAGTGCGGGTTACCTTTCTTTTGTGGTTTGTGAGCTATTGCATAGGAGCGAGGTTTTAAGGGTAGTGGCTTCGGATTTCCCTTGTCAGCAAATGTTGGTTACGTCTCCTATGTGGGGTTCGCAAAGTTCTTGGGAGAAAGCGTGTTTCCAATTATCATCATGAAAATTATTTTCTCCCTGATGTTTAAAACCAGTTAGGTATGAAACTGCAGGGCAAGGATTTGAGATGGTTTATTAGTTGAGTTTCTCTAATTAATCCATTTCCTTATAAAAAGGGGATTAGTTCTTGCAACAAGTTTTGTGGTAAAGTTTGGTAACTAGTTCTATTGAGTTTAAAGCTATATAAATCCGTCAATGCAATTTAATAATGGTTATTTGGCTTGATGTTCCTTTCTTTATGCAAGAAGATTCCAGCTATTTAAGATCTGAGCTTTGTCAATATGCTTGTGTTCTGGTGTATTATGATGCTTGTACTAGGAATTACATTGGATGGGGTCTCAGTTGAACTGCATTTCTCATTAACCTTGTTTTGTTTGTATTAGGAAACAAGATGGGGGGAGTGTTTTTAGGTATGCCAGGAACGTGGGCAGGTCATATGCACGAAGCTGCTGACCATTATACAACAAAAATCGGTGGACTTCCTGTAAGAAAATCCTCCTGGATATGGTATAGTTCATTGTGCTTTGATGTTTTTTTGGTATTATGATGCTACTTCTTTTTTCTTGAACAGGATTGGCCTATTCCTCTTCCTTCAGCAAGTGTTGATTTATTCAAATGCAGTTCTTGTAAAAGTGATTTGTCTCTTCTTGCACAGGTTTGTACTTGAAACTGTTTGACTAACTTTGAATTACCCGATTACTTGGATTTTTTAAGCTTTAAGACATTTTGCTATATTTTTCTCCTTACATTTGTTTCCCTAGGTTTATGCCCCAATCTCACATAAGAGTTTGAACATTGAAGAGCGTGTAATCTATGTTTTTGGCTGTTTGATGCCAGAATGTGGGAGCACTACTGTAAGGTCTTTTCTTAGTTTTCAAACATATTGTCTTTTTGTTAATGCTTGGAAACTTAATAATCATTTGGATTTAACTTCTGTGGTCTATCTATTATATTTCTATGACAGCTGGAGAGCTATTAGAATCCAAAAGTCAGTAAATAGTGAAGGTTTAAAGAGCCAGTCTGATAAAGCTGTCTCCTCGTCTGAATCTTCTGTATCAGATTCAAAGGAAGGATGGAAGAAGGATATATCGTCATCTGACTCTTTGGAAGAGGATGATGATGAAGATGACGATGACATAGACCTTGCTGAGTTGGGTAGAGCACTTTCTGAAGCTGCAAGCCTAGCTTCTCAGTCCAAGAAACAAAACCATGGTCGTAAATTAACTGCCAAAACTTCATCCCCTGTCTGTGCAGACAGAGTAATTGATAAAAAGTTACCAGGTAATTTCCATTCTGTTTTCCTCGACATTACCTGCACCTTGACATGATCTTTTGCTAGAACCCCTTTTAAATGGTTCTACTTGATATGTTACTGGGTGGTATATGTAAAGGGTTCCCATTTAGCTTTGCTTGATATAAGATGAGCGTGGAACTGTTGTTTGAATCCCCATGGAGACAAAAAAGCTAGGTGATTGTGAACTGTTTACTGGGACGATCGACCCCCCAACATAAATTTAGCACTATGATAGAGAACATTACATTGATAAATGCTATTTATAGATACAGAAAGCCAACTTGTTCTTGTTATTAGCAATGAAACCTTTTAGTTGATAGCAAATAAAAAAATGGATACAGAAATGGCATGTGTGATTGGTAAAATGAATATGTGATTTGTTTGTTGCCTTCCCTTTGTGGGAGGCAGTTGGTGATTCTTGCTGGTTGAGTGATACGTAGATCAGTCAAAGGGCCAATGGATGTATTTACTTATTGTAAAAAAAGTGAGAAAGTGAAATAAATAATCCGTCCTATTTGGAGATTGGTTTTAAAATGATCCTTTAAAAGTCATTCTAAAAAAAATGATCCTTCAATTATACACCTGAGTGGTTTTAGTTCTTTATGTTTAATAAAATTGAGTACTTTTGACGAAATGGCTTGTGAAAGAACATGAGTCGTTTAACGTGTCGGATTCATTTCCATATTCTTACCTTAAGAAAAATCCTATTTGTATAGAGACCAGAAAAATCTTATTTGTACAGAGACCAAAAGTGCTCAGCTGCATATTTAAAGGACTACTTTAAACCAACCCCAAACATAAGAAACTAATTTGTCATTTTCTCTAAAGAAGTCATTGTGTTACGAGAAGTTGACAGCTTACAAAAGTTTAGGTCTTCATACCTTTTAGCAAGTGTTTAAAGTGATACATGAGATCTGCAATTATCACTGGGTAGCATTTGAATGATTATTTTAGCTTTCTGTAGTCTCTGAAAGAAACACTTTTTTTCTTTGGTCACAGTGATTCCTTGCTTCTATATATATGCTGAGGAAGAGAAATTTTCAAAAAAGGATGCTTCTGTCTATTCAAAAAACATCTCATCTCCAATCAAGGACCATGAAAGTGATCCTGATACTAAAGAAGAAACATGGGAGGTGGAAGATTATGAGTACGATAGGGCATTGAATGCTGACAGGGTTTACCTTAAGTTCAAAAAGCGAGTAGATGCATATCCAGAACAGTGTTTCAGGTACAACTTTAAAAAGCCAGCCTTTGTTTACCATGCATAATCTGTACTTCTGAATTTACTTTTAAGTATCGCCTCCTGGAACTTAACATTTTATTTGGTGGAGTAGATGACTTTTGAGAAGCAAACTCTCAGTTTTTTATATACCTTTTAATTTCCCCAAAGCAGCAAGTGAAGTCCAAGTTTAATGTACTTTTGGTTTCTTGATGTAGTGAACTTTCAGCCTATTCTGCTTCTGTACAAGCTTTCTCTTTGATTATCTTATTCATCTCCAACCGTAGCGTATTACTATTTGTACAACTTTATGCATGTTGAACTGTTCTCATGTTTTTTCTGCGGTGGCATGTGTGAATTTATAGATGCTTCTTAGAGTAGTCGTTGTGACCTTCTCTTTGTTCCCAACTCTTTGAATGCATCAACTCCTCGTCATAAGTGAGAGAGTGTTGACTGGTTGGTTTCTAATGAAAGGCATTTAAGTCTTTTCCGAGTGAGCCTAAGGAGTTTCAGCTCCGTTCAAGAAACTTTTAATTATGGACAGTGATTCTGATTAGTCTGGGTTTGGGACTTGGATCAACTGATCCTTGTAAGTTTTTCCTTGCCAATCTACTGGTTCTGCTTCTTCTTACTTCAGTTTGGCTGAATTTGTCCTGCTGGGCTTCTCGACTGATCTTGAGATACGTCTTATCACTGATGTCCTTTCTCCCATTTTGTTTGCTTGGTTCTGGGCTTGAGCTTCAAACCATCTCAATATTGGGGTAAATTTTGAGAGTCAATGAATCCACCTTTTCAAACTACATTCAGCTTGTTTCTCGTGACACCCGAGATACATAGGGAACTCTACACAGAGTTTGGTCATACTAATCCAGTCAATCCATTTCCTAGTAGAATCTCCTCGAATTACATATGAACTGATTTCTTGTGTAACTTGAGATATGTAGACAACTCGAAGTCCGGAGTCTGGCCATAGCCCATTTCTTCCGATTTAATCCAATCTACACGCCGATACATAATTGGCTACTACGTCAACATCTTCGCCGGTCTTGGCCTTGCTTCCATCAACATGTGAAAACTGCCATCAAGTACTTATTTTATTAGTCTGAGTATTAATTTATCTTTCATCATAAAACACATCTTAATGCTAACAGTTGGCTGACATACTGTGAGATTGATTAGGATTACACACTGGAAACCACATCTTAGGTTGTACATTCAGTTTTCACCCACTCCCACTGAGCTCAAGGTTACTTTTATTTTTTGTTTACTTTATTGTTTTCTTAGTCAACTGCTAACGCTAACTGTCATTTGTTGGAGACTGGCATACTTTATCCAAAAAGAAGTTAAATAAAATAAATACAGAGAGTATCATATAGTTCTCTGTTGGTAGGTTTTAGGATTCCTTTCCATTTCTATACGCCCAAGGTTTCTTTTATTTGACCTCCTTACATTAGTTAATCATTAACATTCTTTCTCTCCTTACTAAAAAATCTATTATTTACTTTTACATGTAGATACTCATATGGTGGAAAGCCGCTTTTGGCTTCTGGAGATGCTGGTGATCCAGGGATGTGCAGGCTTTGTGGTGCAGCACGTCAATATGAAATGCAGCTGATGCCCCCATTGCTATATTTTCTGCAGGAAGCCGTGAGCGAGAAAGAAAAATATGCCTTGGATAACTGGAATTGGATGACTTTAATAGTCTATACTTGCTCACAGGTCAGCCTTTAACTGGATATGGATTGTAGGGTGGAAAGATATGTTGGATCTGTATACTTTTCTAAGCCAAATGGTCATTTTTTAGCTGATGTATCATGAAAGGCGAGTGCATAGCTGAAACACTGTATGTATTAAAAATTCCATTTAAATCAGTTTTAAAAAAGAGGTTTGAACCCAGTAATTCACATGAACTGGGGAAGAATCAGAAACTCAAAAGGGAGGCTCTTCTAGTGACTCTTCTGTGTTACCTGCTGCATATTACATCAGAAGAACCAAAAAATAAACAAAAAAACCTAAAGTTGTAAAATTAAAAGGTTAGGAAGTAAGAAGTTGAATTGAAGGAAAAGTGTAATAGGTTATGACTTTTTACTTCAGCTTTTCACTTGTTGAAAATGCGCGTCTCCCATGGGACAGTTTTGTGCGAGTTTGAATTAATCACTCTCCTCTTGTTCCTTTCCTTTCTGAAGTGAAATTTTACTTGTGATATATTTCTTTCATTTGCTGGTTGAACTATCTATTTTCTTTTGTCAATTGTGGACGATACTACTCTTTATTTTCAGGCCTAGTTAACCCCATTGTCTGTTTCATTTTCAGAACTGTTCAAAAGATAACTCTAGCGATGATGGCTGGACTGTGGCTGAGGAAGCTGTTGTCGTACAATATGAATAGCATCGACTAAATTATCATATGCTGTTTCGTATGATTTTGTGATATTAGGGTATATTTTCGTCATAATTTTTGTTGTTATTATAAAGTAGATTAGTAGCAGGGTTGTAACAGTCAATTGAGTCAAGGGTGGGTTTCTTTTTGCTTACATTGTTTTTGAGTTTGCTGTTACTTGGTGTTAGTTAGTGTCGAATGGTTGAGATGCAAATTGTCAAATTTTGGTTCGGATCATGTGTTCTATTGAATTGCAGAACATCAAAGACTATAGAACACACTTGTTTTGGAATGGCAATGAAAACATACACGGAAAAGAGTCAAATATACTCCTGTACTATCAAAAATATGCTCTTGTTATATACTTTTTTTTAGGACTATTGTTTGAAATGAGGAAAGTTCACTAGCCTGAGTTCAAAGCCAATATATTGAACTCTATGCTATTGTCTGTTATCCTTTTAACACTTTAAGCTTGTTAAATCTATAACATAAATCTTCTTCACCTTTTTCTATTTCGCTTTTACCCCTGTTGGGTCTCACTTTTTTGGCAAAAAGTCCACAAAGGTGTACTCTTCTATTTAAATATTCATTATTTTAAGGGTAATATTAGAATATTATAAAGTCTTTTTATAAATTGAGATAAACAGGAGATGAGACCTCTGGAAGAACTAAAAGTGTCATATCTGGAGCCATTTATGATTTTAAAAATATACCAATTGTTAGAAATAGGTCCCAAGATCATGTCAATCCAAAGGACAGCGAACCCCATATATCTCATGGCATGACACAACTAATTCCAAAATACTTGGTCAAAAGTTCTGATCATATCAAGTTTGAAAAATAACATTACCATTCACATTAGGCATCTTTATATTATCAAGAGGCAAAGACTTGTCTTTATAATCAATTCTTTCCTCCAACATATACATTACAACATGAGCAAATTACATCAAGGAAACTAAAACATACTTTGCATAGTAAAGAAGATAGTATTAAGTACAAATAGTAGAAATGTAAAAACTAATTAAGTCCATCTCTTCTTGATTCTAGCTTTGAAACCATGTTGCATATAGAGAATAATTGAGACATTAGGGCAAACTTTGTGTCCATTGATCACTTCAACTTTATAATTATGTATGATAGAAGCAGCCACAGCTTTCATTTGAGTGAAAGCTACTTCTTTCCCTAAACAAGTCCTTGGCCCTGCATTGAAAGCTAAGAACTTGTACGAAGGCTCGTGCCTAATTAATCCTTTCTCAGATATCCATCTCTCTGGCTTAAATTCCAAACAATCTTTTCCCCATATCGATTCCATCCTCCCCATCGCGTACAATGAGAACACCACTCTCATTTTAGGATGAACCTGGTGTCCACTTGGAAGAGTATCAGGTTCTAGAGGAGTCTTATGTTGGAATGGTACTGGTGGATATAGCCTTAGTGATTCACACAATGATGCATGCAAGTAAATTGCATTTTTCAACTCGTTCGCGTTAAAAAGCCTCCATTTTGATGATGATGATGATGATGTCAAGGAGACAATTGCCTCGAGTTCTTCCATGATCTTTTTTTCAACCTCAGGGTGAGTCGCGACTAGCCAAATGAACCATGTTAGTCCTGAGCTAGTCGTATCACGCCCTGCAATCATGAGGTTCAATATGGTATCCCTCAAGAACTTATCATCAAAATTTTGTCCTTCATTTAATATGTATGAGGTCAAGAGATCATCACAATCCTCTTCTTCATCTTCCTTTGTTTTTGTTGCAAAATTACTTAATTCATCGCGTTTCATCGATATATACTTGCTTATAACTTGATCAAGAACATCCCATGCTCTAGTTAACTTACCTTCATACCCAATCCCTAGCCATTTTTGCAACTTCCAAACACTCTTTGGCAACAAATGTCTAATGAACAACACTTCTTCTACCTCATCCATAGCTCTAGAGAAGGGAACACGAGGGAATTCGATTGAGAGACATCCAGGATCATACCCTGTAACCAATATACATGTTGTATCAAATGTATATCTTTGAAAAACATCTTGCAAATCCACAACTCTATCATCTCTAGCCACATTTTCAAAAACAGGAACAAGTCCATTTTCAATCTTGTCCCAACTAGATTTCACCAAACAATTATAAAACCTTTGATGAGTGATCAAACTCCTAGCATATTTCCTCTGTCCCTTCCATAAATCCAAATCAGAATTGAAAATGCCATCTCCCAATACATCAAATATCTTCTTAAACTCTTCCCCTTTAGGGAAATTCGCGAAGTTCGCGCTCATGATGTAGTGAACATTTTCAGGATCCACTGTCCCAAGAATGTCCATGTTAGTGAACCATGGACCTTCTAGCAAGAAAGTTCCACCACTTCTTGAAAAAATTTCACAACATCTTTCATGTATTCTATTTACATTGAAAAGTAAGTTTGGTAACATTCCAAGAAATGGCCAATTCCATGGTAAGCCACTTCTATCACCTAAAGCCAAAAATACAAAAAAGCAAAATATTGCAACAAAAAACTCAAAGTAATCAATTGAGGCCATTTCTTGCTTAGTGTTAACTCTTTTGGGAAGGTTACTTCATGATTTATAGATAATTAATTATATATTTTAGTCTTATTGATACCTAACAATCTACCTTGACGTGTGTATTGAAATATAGTCAAAAAATATGTATCATGGTAGGGTAGTATAAAATACGAAAAATTTATAAGCATTCGATGTTTATTCAAAGACATGTGTCTTCATGCACACGTTGTTATTTAATTTAATAATAGTATACTTAATTGGTGTGGTTACCTTAGTTGAAATGGTTGTTTTGATGTAATTAAATATCGGGTATGAGTAAATATTTAGCTATAGAATGTTGTCAAGTCTTTCACGTTATGATATTTTCATTAAAATATTTTTCAATCTTGGTAATGATTTGATTGCTTATCTTCTAATAGTAGAATAAAGTTTCTTGCTGAATTAGACAATGGTTTCCCAAATCAGGTAATCATTCAAAATTTTGGATTTTAGAATTGAAATGGACATTGCATACCTTATATTGCACAATATTGATTAAATGTGTTTGTCTAAAAAAGAAAAAAAAAACTTTTAGAGCTTTTCTTGTATCAAATATGGGGTGTAAAATATGTCCCAAAATTTGATGGTTCGGACAATCCACCCAAAATTTTAAGGTTGGATAGAAGATAATTTCATATTAAATTGATTTTAGCCTAATCTATTTTTAAATTGATCTCGAATTTAGCTCAATACTACCTCAATTCTAGATTATTTTAAGATTTACTTTAATATGAATAAATTGCTTGAGATTTATTTTGATTTTTTCTATGAGTTGGGGTTCCAGCCTCGAATCGAGGGTCTAGCCCAAGTTCAGGGTCAGGATCAGGTCATAGTTCAAGTGGGATCTTGAGTTTCAAGTTAGAGTTGGCGCTCTAGTTGAGATCGGATCATGGGTAGGGCTCAAGTCCAGTGTCGAGGTCGATTCTCAGGTTTGGATTGGGTCTCAGTCCCTTGATTAGAGTCAAGGAGCGCTCTAGTTGAGATCAGGTTATAGTTAGGGATCAAATCTCGAGTCTCAAGTCCTAACTCGAGGTAGATTCTCAAGTTTGGATTGGGTCTCAGTCCCTTGATTAGATTCGGGATTGGATTTCAAGACCTACATCAAGGTTAAAGTCATGTCTTGAATTAGGATGTAGGCTCAAGTTATGGATCTCGTATCAGGATTTAGGCTCGAGTCTTGTATCCCGAGTTAAGGTCCAGTCTCAGGTTGAGATCAGATTTAGAATCCCAAATCAGAGATAAAGTCGGGTCACAGATCTTAGATCAAGATCAAGGTCAAATCTCATATATTGGATCAAGGTCGGATCTCAAATATCTCCATTTGTATACATGCTGGTGTCCCTTTCTCACTAGAAAGTGAGATTACACGTGGCTTGTGAAAGCTCAATTTCAGTAGTTCTAGCAATTTACATTCCTCTTTTCTTATATTATATATATATATATATATATATATATTATCCTAATTGAAGAACTGTACTAAAAACATACATCAACTATGATTTTATAATCAACTACATAACTTGTATCGTGCGTGTACCCTATCATACAAACATTTTACAAAATCATAAAAATATTAGTAGAAATTTTACTTATAAGATTTTTTTAAAAAAAATGAAAAAATGTGTTAATAATTAAAATGATTTTAAGTAATTAGCTCGAATTAGTCATCAGAATAATAAATTTAGTCTGGATGATGATAGTGACCACGATGATGACTCATTCATGTGAAATCAAATACGTAACTAAGAAGAAGTAGATTAGTAATGTCTTATTAATAGTTTATTCATGAGGGTGTAAAATCTTATCTTGACTTGTTGAAAGTTAAACGAAAATACTAGTAGTTCAGTTAATTAGTTATCTGAATTTTTAGTTAGTATGTCTCGATGATAATGGTGACCACGACTCATTCATGTGAAATCAAATACGTAACTAAGAAGAAGTAGATTAGTAATGCCTTATTAATAGTTTCGAGTTGTTGAAAGTTAAACGGAGATATTAGTAATTCAGTTAATTAGTTATCTGAATTTTTAGTTAGTACGTCTCGATGATGATGGTGACCACGACTCATTCATGTGAAATCAAATACGCAACTAAGAAGAAGTAGATTAGTAATGCCTTATTAATAGTTTCAAGTTGTTGAAAGTTAAACGGAAATATTAGTAGTTCAGTTAATTAGTTATCTGAATTTTTAGTTAGTACGTCTTGATGATGATGGTGACCACGACTCATTCATGTGAAATCAAATACGTAACTAAGAAGAAGTAGATTAGTAATGCCTTATTAATAGTTTTGAGTTGTTGAAAGTTAAACGGAAATATTAGTAGTTCAATTAATTAGTTATCTGAATTTTTATTTAGTCTCGAAGATGATGGTGACCACGATGATGACCCGTTCATGTGAAATCAATGAGTCTCACCATTTACTTTAAATACATCTACTTATCATTAAATACAAACATTGATATTATCATTAGTCTCAAGAATTAACAATAAACACATTCCATTAATTATAAAGGATATGCTAAATTCATTGAATCAGTAAACTTTATTCGTCATTGTGATCTGAGTTCTTACTTTTAGTTTGTTATTTCTTTTCAGAATTTGTCACAACTTTATTGAAAAATCATCAAAGTTCTATTTATTTTTTATAATTCATCATCGAAATTATAGCGTTGTTTATTGTTTTTTTCTTCTTAAAACGGAAGAATTTTATTTATATTTTAAGATTCGTCCATGGACATAGAAAAAGGAACTCTTCTAAACGAAACAGTTCCACAAGCATCTCTATGTTGTTGTTTGTTGTGGTTGCTTCTTCACTAAAGTTCTCTTTCATGACTTTCTCAACTTCTTCTCTTCATGTACACTTTTGTGTTATTGTATGTCATTACATACATAAGATATATACTTGACATATATGTGACATACAATGATAACTGACATATATCACTAGGATGTTCACTAGCTATATGTCACTGCATATCATACATTAGACATATGCTTGACATACATATGATATAATGATATACATATGGCATGCATATCATATATCATTTGTATGTCGTGTGCATATCACATGATACATACATATAGAATATGCGTGGATAAATTTTCTTGGCTAAGGCGGTCCCTTAAAGTTGTTCGTATAATTCACTTAGACATCTCAACTAGGTTAGTACTTATTGAACACCTAAAATATTCAAAATGTGTATCTATTAAAAAATTGAATTTAACCACCACATGTCATTGTTTCATTGGTATACATGCTATGTATTTGCGTTTGAGCTACACACAATTTTGTTTTTCAACTGATTATCATTTTGTGTCTAATAGATGTAAATTTCTTAAGGTTAAAGTGTTTAATATGTACTAGTCCTAGTTGAGGTGTCTAAAGGAAATATTTGTAAAATCATGACATGCTCCACTAATAGTGTTAAGGTTTTTGGTAAGAAGCTCAAATCCTTTCACAATTCACAAAAAGAAAAAAGAAAAAAAAAACATTGACATTTCTTGGTAGAAGTTTTATTACATGGTTTATTTATTGTAAGTAAAATTATAAACATTAAAAATAACATAGCAACACAAACATATCTATAAACTTGACACATATTGATCATACTATCACTCTAAGTCCATCTCCTACTAATCCTAACTTTAAAACCATATCTCATATAGAGAATAATAGAAGAATTAGGTTCAATAGTTTGTCCTTCCACAACTTCAACTTTGTAATCATGTATGATAGTAGCAGCCACAGCTTTCATTTGAGTGAAAGCCACTTCTTTCCCTAAACAAGTCCTTGGTCCAGCATTAAACGCCATGAACTTATACGAAGGCTCGTGCTTTATCGTTCCTGTCTCTGAAATCCATCTTTCTGGCTTGAATTCTAAACAATCTCCCCCCCAGATCGACTCCATCCTCGCCATTGCATACAATGAGAACAAAATCATCATCTTTGGGTGAACTTTATGACCACTTGGGAGAGTATCTTCTTCAAGTGGCTCCTTGTGTTGAAATGGAACAGGTGGATATAACCTTAGTGACTCACATAATGCACCATGTAAATAAACCAACTTGTTCAATTCATGAACATTGAAAACCCTAAATTTTCCATTTTCTTCTTTTGGAATAATTGAGTTGATTTCTTCCCTTAATTTCTTCTCCACTTGTGGATTTTTCGTGACAAGCCAAATGAACCATGTTAGAGCTGAGCTTGTAGTGTCACGCCCCGCGATCATTAGGTTCAAGATAGTGTCCCTCAAGAACTTATCATCACAATGACCTTCTTTGAGATAAAAGGTCAAAAGATCAAAACCCTCATCGTTCTCTTCCACTTCATCCATTTTTCTCAACTCATCGCGTTTTTTAGATATATAATTACCTATAACATTATCCATAGTTTCCCAAGCTTTACTCAACTTTTTTTCCTCTCCAATTCCAAGCCATCTTTGTAGCTTCCAAATTGGCTCAGGTATAACATGTCTAAAAAGAATAGCTTCTTCAGCATCATCCATAGCTTTCGAAAAAGGAACGTGAGGGAAATCAATTGATACACAACCAGGATCATATCCAGTAACTAATATACAAGTAGTATCAAAAGTGAACCTTTGAAATAAATCTTGTAAGTCTACAATGACACCCTTGTTACAAACATGATCAAGAACATGAATAAGTCCTTTCTCCACTTTTTCGCGACTAGTCTTGATTAAAAACTTGTAAAATTGTTGATGAGTGATCAAAGAACGAGTCGTTTTCCTTTGAATCTTCCATAAATCCATGTCCGAGTTAAAAATTCCATCTCCTAAAACATCAAAAAATTCCTTGAATTTTCTCCCTTTTGGGAAATTCATGAAATTTTGACTCATAATGTAGTGTACATTTGATGGATCAATTGTAGCTAATATGTCCATTTTTGCAAATAATGGACCTTTTGATACAAAAGTTCCACCTGATTTACTCATGATGACAGTAAGCCTATCATGAATATGTTTTATGTGAAAAAGTATACTTGGTAACATACCAACAATTGGCCATCTTTTTGGGTATCCCTTTGGATGTGTTAGGGAATGAAACAAGAAAAAACATAGTATTGCTAGGAATATTTCAATGTAACCTAATCCAACAATTGACATTTTTTTGTTTCTTTGTTTTATTTGAAGGGGGAAAATGTCTAGTATATATAGAGGGTTGGTTATCTATACTTGTTTTTATAATATGCTATTTTTGGGTTGTTTTGTTTTGCCTTCACTATTAATTTGTTTGTTTGAAGGTACTAGAATGCCACCAAACTACCAACCAAAAATGGAGTTAGTTGAGGAAAAGAAAAGTTTCTAATTTTTTTTTTGTATGTAGTTATTTATGTGGAGTTCATCTTCTATATATAGACGTAAAGTTTATCCTTTGAGTCGATCGGGTCTATAAAAAATAAATTTTTTATTTCAGATTAAATCTGTATATATTTTATTTTTCAACACATCACTTATACAATTACACTAAATATGTTGTTCTTTTAAATAAATGTAAAAATTATTATTTTACATTATCGTGTTATTTATGAGTTATGACACGTTTACCTATAATAAATGGCATTAATAAGTTGGAATTTCATTACACTATTTGTAGATATAAGTAAATTGATCTTATGAGGATACTTAGGTTTGAATTGGAAAAAAATTAAAATGACTTAATATATCGATAGCCTATTAAACTTGTAAGTAAATTTTATTTATACACTCGATCTACAACTTATTTCAATTGAACACCTATATGTTGAGAATATATTTAACCAATAAAAGTGCGCTCTCTCTAACAACTTAAACTTTTTGATGAGAAAGGGTCACACACTTTAACATGATATCAAAGCAGACAGAGATCCTGTGATCGAATCTCACCACCACTCATATAAAAAAAAAATCCACGTACTTGATCCATGAAAAGAGAATCAGGACAAGTAAAACCTCACGCATATTGTTCCAGGAGTTGTCTATGTATAAAGCCAAATTAAATTGAATTAAGTGGTTGACCTTACTACCAATATGCACATTCAATGGTTAGATTGTCATTTTTTTAACAAAAAATCTAGAAAAACACATTACACATCATGTCTTGCGTTAAGTTAAAGAACAATGTGATGTATTGCTTTTATGAATTCAATATTTTTATCAATATTCCTATCTTATCTTAAAATATGTGATGTCACTTATAATGAATATATATAACTATAGCTAAATGTATGACATATATTTAGATGTCAAAATTCAAGATAAAAAACAAATAAAAAGGATTGTAAAAGGAAAAAATATAAAATAAAAATTGTGTCAGTGCTTATCCTCTTATTTATGAATAAATTTGTATATTGTCATTTCAGTTCTTAGTTGTTAGATGTTAGTTTATGAGATGAAGTTAAATTGAAATCGTCATATTTTTGCAAATATGTGATGTTTATATAACCAAGAAAGTATATCAAATAGGTACACTAGTATTTAGTTAAGGATAATTTGGTGAAAATACATCTAGCTTACTTTTTGACGGTAAATGAATATTTTAAGGGATGTGTCAAGCCAAATACATCATATAATATGAATTTGTCATATAATATAATAGCCTCTTGAATTTGTCACTAAATTTCATTTAGGTTAACTTATGGCATGTTCAAACTAAATATTTGAACATATGATAAAACACTTATATTAGATATTTTTTTTTATGTGTATCCAAGTATTATAATTATATATGTAATAAGATAATCACTTTAACATATGTTACCTTCTTTTTTAATTATGCACATTAGACTCGATAAATAGTAAAAACTCAAATATGTATGATTTGAGGTAAATGTGTATAATTAAATGAATTTACATATTTTATGTGATTAACATAACTATCGAATAGATGCTTGAGAATACGCATAAAAGTTTTTCAAAAATATGAATTGAAATGTCTAATAAAAATAAGTAATCAATTGCTCAAGTCATCGTTCGAATGTTTAAAAACAAAGTTATGAAAATAATCAACCAGACATATATTTCAATTAAAGCTAATTAATTATACCTACTACCAAGAATTGTTGGAGAGATCTGTGGAGTTTGACATCATTATACTCAATGACATTCTTCTATGGTACTCTGCATTTTTTAAAATATTTTTGTGGTACTTGCTTATAAACAATGACACACTATGACATTGACTGTTGCATTCTAAATGGAAAAAAATCATTCATTTTAATTATGAAATAATAATAAAATATAATACAACAAGAGAAATTAAAAAAAATTGAGAAGAGAGATATTTTATTTTTCTTGAATTTAATGTGTTTCTCGTAAAATAAACTGAATTTATTAGAGTTGTCAAAAAGGGCCGGCCCAGCACCACCCGGTCCAAGCCTTGTGGGCCAAGGAATCTGAAGGGTTAGGGTGGGCCAGCCATTCATTTGAAAATGCTCAACCCAACCCTAGAAGGGCCGAGGGCTGGGACGGGCTAGCCTTTTGTTGTTCTTATTTATCATTTTTTTTCATTTCAAACGTCCAATTTTATAACATCCAGAAAATGAGAAGATTTTCAAATCAAATATGGCAAACAATGGTATTGTTTCAATAACACTAGAAAAAAAATCTAGTGTAATTAGCATATATCTAGGATACTAGATATGCGATGTATCTATTATGATGCATCCAAATACGCGAGTGAGATAAGAGAGTGGCAAGTGAGATGGGAGGGAAGCGAGGGGGAAAGATTTGTTTATGTATCCTAGATACATGTGAATCCACTTGGATAGAGTGTATCTAGAACAAATTAACCTAATTTTGAGTCCATGTATCTCGAGATACATGTATCTGGAAGTGCCAAAATTTGGTAAGGTTCATAAATATTACAACATAATGTGCATTTAAGTAAGAGTAAATTTTAGGTTTAGCAAACATAAAAATCATATTTAATTTATATGTTATAGTTATAGTTTGTATAATTGCGTTCCATAGCAAACTTTATGTTTGCTATGATTATTAATATGTATATTTCGGTCTACATATACAAAAGAATCAATTGTATAATCTGTTTTGGTATACATATACAAAAGAATCAATTGTATAATTTGTGTTTGTATAAAGCGAGAAAGAGAGAAAGACAAAAGAAAAACTGGGCAAGGGAAGATCTGTATTTGTATAATTATAAGTGTATAAGACGAAAATATATGTATTTGTATTTGTATATACAATTTTCTCTCGTTTTATACAAACACAAACGCAATTTCTACATTTCTGTTTGTATAAAGTGAGAGAGGCGAGTGAGAGTGGCGAGCAAGATTCTTTGGGGAGAGAGGCGAACGAAAAGATATGTATATATACAGTTTTCTCTCGCTTTATACAAACACAAACGTAATTTATACATTTGTGTTTGTATAAAGTGGGAGAGGCGAGAGAGACTGCCCAACAAGATTAGGAGAGTGGCGAACGAGATTCGCTGGGGAGAGAGGCAAATGATAATTGTTTGCTACGGTTTACAATTAATGAAACTGTGGCTATAGCATTTAATTTGAATTAATACTTTGTTATTTTATACAATTTTCCCTTTAAATAATTAGCTCATATACTAGAGATATTATTGCAAGTTACCCTTAAATAAATAGTTTTGACCCTCGACTCCGGCCCAACCCCTACCAAGCCTCAAGGGCCAAGGGAATATATGGATTGGGCTTATAAGCCCTAATTTTAAATGGGCTTAAAAAATCTTATTCCGACCTTACCCCTAATAACGGATTGAATTGAATCGACCCCATGAGCTAAGCCCATTTTGACGGCTCTACTATTTATATAAGAATGAAAGTAGTTTACAAAGCTACGAGCAAATTCCTCGTAAAATTACTTATGAAAGTTGCGTACAAAGTTATTTATATGTTGTTTGCAACCTTCTTTAGAAAGTCGATGGAGTACATCCATAAGAAGAAAACACTTATGGGATATTCTTTTTTAAAAAATAAACTCATTTTAAAAGCTTGATCAAATAAATTATTAATCTTTAAACTCCAATTTAAAGTGACATTCTACAATCAAGTCGAATTTATACGATCTCATAATTCCCGCTAATTAGAACTCAAAGGCACTATTTCCTTTTAAGTTATGTTTGGTACGGATGAAAATAATTTTCAAAATTTTCATATTGGATTGATCGAAATGATTTGAAAAATAATTTCTCTACGAAAATAAATTCTTGCAAAACGAAGAAAACAAATTCCTTAATTAAAATGTCCAAAACAAATTTCATAAATAACATTACAAATAAATTGTCTTTTCCCCATCCACGCAACATACCCCGAACCCCCACTTCACCTTATCCTACCGTCATAGTATTCTATTAGATTACATATAAATGTTCTATTAATAATATTTTTACTTATTTATCAGACGCTAATAAATAAATAAAATACCAAATATTTTCTCGTACCAAATACACCCTTTTAAAATAAAAACTGTTTGTCTCGAAAATTATTGACAAATGTATGAACGTGGGTACTTGAACCCCTCATTTTCCTTTCTTATAGAATCTCCATTACTTCCACACACTTTTTCATCTACAAAAACTCATATTTTTTCTCCATTAACACAACAACCATATTAACCTTCAAAAACTAATATATATTCATCCTTTCCAATTTAGAAAAGCAATAAAATAAAATAAAAATCATGGATTTTTTTAGAAAATTAAGTATATTTGTTCTTTTTTGTCTTATTACAATTTCCTCTGAAATAATTCACACAAATGGTGATCAACAAAATGTTGAAGACAATAAAAAAGAACAATCTCCTACACAAATGCTAGAAGAAGCTTATTCTATGCTTCTTACATCTACATTACGTTCTTTGGATGTGGCTAAGTCATATATTAATCAACTTCAACTTAAGTATTTTCCTCCAAATGTAGAGTAAGTATTTTTTTCCTTCCCTTCTATTAGATTTTCTTTGGTTTCTCTACGCGGGCAACAAAAGAGATATTTAGTGGCAATAGATGTCGTCGCGGAAGCATTTAATGACATTTGAGTTAATGTCATTGCATTCAGAGTCGCTAACATTTATATCGAATGATGATATAAATACTCATGTTTCTTATTGTTGGTTAATATATAATTTAGCAGCAATTGTTTTATTGCCGCTAAATAATTGACGCAAAATTCTTTATTTGTTGTAGTGTTAGTACATTTGAATTATAGAGGTGTTCTTTTATGGCTAGGGTAGTTCTATTAGAGACGGAGTCAAGATTTTAATTAAGTTTATGTGTTCTAGATCATAAGTCATAACCCTTTTTGTTTACTGAATTCTTGATATATTATTTATACATATTAAATAAATTTCTTAACATAAATATAGAGTTTGGATTAAAGTTATTGATTTTGCCAAACTCATATAGCAATAGGTGTAGGAGCACCATTTCATGCAACAAGTTGATGGAGAGGTGAAAAGAACTATTTAATGAGTGTAATAGAGAACATGATATCTGATGCAAATCCAAATCCCTAAATATGATGGGGTGGGATGAATGATATCCTTTCACCCTATCTCGAGTTCGAGCCCTGCGAATGAAGAGACCTCATAATAGGGAGTCACTTCCTCCTTAAAATTAATTGTAAACAACACGAATCTTAATTAATCGTGCTATTAGATGGTTGTAGACCAAAAAAAAAAAAAAGAGTGCTTCAATTTCTTACATTCCTATTGACAGTAGTAGAGTCTTTAGGAAGAATGCATCATGCTTTACTACCAAGTACCAAGATTTGGTTCACTAGTGATGTCTATACCTTGACGAAGATCTCCTTTTCTTTTCATAATCTGATAACATAGTAGTTTATGTTCTTTACGAGGTAGGAGTAAGATCTGCATACACTCTACCTTCCCCCGACCCAACTTATGGCTATACATTGGGTATGTTATTGTTATTGTTTGGAAAATGAGTTTGGGAGTTTGATCGTTTTGCAGTTTCAGAAGCAAGGATGATGTCAGTTCTAATGGAGGTGCTGGAGAGAGGATAATGGAGGCTACTCAGAAGAGCTTTGAGAAGAGCAAAGAGACTGTAGAAGGATCCGCCAAATCTGCTGCTGAGGCGGTGGAGCAGAAAGTGCATGACACAGCTGACAAAGTGAAGGATACAATATCTGCAGGGCACAAAACAGATGAGAAAACTGAAGCCACTGTGCCTTCTGGACATGATGAACTCTGAAAATAATCTACTAACAAGTCAAGAAGTGATTAGCATTTCTTCCTTTCTCTTCTGTAGTGTAATACTTTTTACGTTCTTTTTGTAACCGTGGTGTCTGAGCTAAGCACAGGTACTAGGTGACTCTATCCACCAAAGTTTGGATAGATAGGAAGAAACCTCAGGATTCTCAACGAATCTCGCTTCTGTAGTATGATTTTTTTTTTCCCATAGGTCTTTTATAGCATCAGAAGTGTGTGATTTGTCTACATTCAAAATTTGATTACTGTAAAAATTCCACAAGTTTAGGTATATGAATTATGACCAATATCCTTGAATCCTAATCCAACAACCATAACTAGCTATATCTGAACTAAAGTTACAAGCTGGCAAATCAATGATCTAAAACTGAAATAAATCATAACAGAGTTGAGAAGATATGATGAAACAAAGCATGTCATTTTAACCCTCGAAAGCTCGAGAATGGTGGCTTAACAAGTTCAGCAAAGAAATTGAAATGGATGAAAAACAAGTAAACACTATGAAGGGAGATTAGAGGAAAGTTTGAGGCATTCACTTTGACATCTCCTGAGGCAGACATCATTCCAGTTTGGCACTTGATGCTGGTTGACACAGACAGTGCGAGCGCAGGCGTCAGAGAAAGCATCAAGTTCCGATACACCACAAACGGTAATACAAGTATCGGGAATTGGATCCTTGGAAAATGCACCAACCTTCTTCAACATTCTCTTTGAAGTACAGACTCTCTCGCACACGAAAATATCATCAGTGCTCTTCTCCCTTCCCCGTGCACTCTTAATTCTCTGCTCCTCAGCATGATTTCTCCTGATTCTGTAAGCTTGACCAGCTACAATGGCAGGAATAGCTGCCCCTAACAAAGACCACCATACCTCAACCATTAGGGCTACAGCTGTGGAATTGTTTGTCTTCTTCCTCCCTGCTAACTTTACAATAAGAACAAGACTTTTTAACCGCCGCTCTTTTCAATTAGAAAATAGCAGAACTAAAATACTTGAAATGTGGAGTAATTTAAGAGATGCAAGAAACTATGCAACCAACATCTAGAAATGGTTTCGATTCTTTCCCTGTTTATCCATTAGGAGGACTCACAGATACAGAAATGTGGTATGAGATACTGTACATCTGTAACTTATTCACTAAATGAATAGATTGTCAAAAACAAAAACCAAATTCTCCACCCCTTGGTCCACATTAAACTAGGGCCATAACCATTAGTCACTTTTGTGGAACGCAATACCCAACTCTCATAAAACTGGTACACTTAAAACAAGTGAGTAAATCATCCCTTATAGCCATTTCATTAATATTTGTGCCTCATCCTTTTCTCGCAAACTCTATGACAAGATATACCCATCCTACAGAACCCTCCGCCCCCCAAAAAAAGAACGATTGCACCAAGGGTAATGGGATCACTATAGTTAGAACACAATGCTTAATCGATTAAGATTGTGATGAATGAGTCCTGAAAGAGAAGAACACAAGGCTGAGATTCATAAGATTACATGTTCATTGATGACTTGATGCCATCTTCAGTCAGTATAATAATGAATTCCACGTTAGATTATCTCAAAGTATATCAGATATGATCTCTTTACCCCGCAAATGTAGGGGTAAGTTCTATGTACTCCCACCCTCCCCAGACCTCACTTGTGGGAAATACTGGGTATGTTGTTGTTGGTTTATATCCGTGATGATTAATCACAATAGCATCATTAGATTAAACCTACTATCAAAACAGGAAAAGGAAAACATTTCGACTTAGAAATAGTATCTGCATTATATTCCTACTGTTGTTTCTGAGAATACAAATAAAAATGGATGATCAAGCATTACAACTGACAACATAAGTTTCAACTCCATCATTAATAGTTTGTTTGTCAAAACACCCACCCACCATTCATCCCCTAAAGAAATCAAAAGATCTTTCTTCACTAAACACACTAATCCCCAGAAAAAAGCTCGAAATTAGAAACCTCTATTACCTCCAACTCTAACTACGGAATACTGATCCTATCAATAAGAAATGAAAACTCTCAGGTTTGCCTTTCCCGCACTTCCATGCCTAAAAGGATAACAATCAAGCCTCTCCTATTCATAATGTAAGAGGTTTTACCATTCATGTCATCTCTTATTCATCTCCCTCTTATTTATCAAGCACAACAAGCGAAATTCAACTTCATCAACAGAAGAAGAAAAAAAAAAGAAGCAAAATTGGAATTTTTTTATCTTCCAAACAAACAATAATAATAACAATAACTGCAGTACATCCTCTAGAGAATAGATCTTTTATCAGCCGTCTTTTAGCAAAATGATATCTAATCAAACCACTATGTTGGTTATAAGCAACATCCACAATGCTATCGAGGCAAACAAACATGTCCTCATTCATGTAAATATGATTTTTGGTAAATATACAACATCACAAGGGTAGAACTCTTAAAAGTGCTTATTTTGAAAAAAGTGAGGTGTTTGGCCAAGTTTTAGGGAGAAAATAAGTGCTATGGGGATTCATAAGCTAAAAAAGATATGAGATATCTAATCAAACCTCCTATTAATAACATCACTAAGTTGGTTATAAGCAACATCCACAACGCTATGGAGGCAACCGTAAATATACAATATCACAAGGATAGAACTCTTGGAAAAAAGAAAACACCAAACCTCAGTCTCTTTTTAATCAGAAAAAAGCAAAAAATAGCACTATGCTAACAGTCCATAACATTTTAAGAATGGAACATTCTCCTTCCCTGAACTCAAACATCCAAAATTGACATTAATATGGTCAAGCAAATGAGGAAAAATGACTTGTAAAAACCCAAAGCTACAAACTTTAACCCTGAAACCACATTATTACCATTACTATTTTTATTTTTTTTTATGACAAGGAAACCCGCAGTCGCTGCCCTTTGGGTGTGCACAGGGTAAAACCCCCCTCCTATGCAATAGCTCGCAAACCACATAGGAGAGGTAACCCGCACTAGGCAAACCCGGTGCGACAAGCTCGATCCAGAAGGCAAACCCCTTACTTTCGCTGGCAAGGGGTTTCGAACTTGAGACTTCCAACATGGAAGTCCCAAGCCCAAACCACTGGGCCACCCCGAAGGGTACATTATTACCATTACTATTACAATTCTTTCTTGTTGAGAATCATTGATTTACCCTTAATTTGAGAAATTAGTCATTTGGGTCGGCACTAAATTGCAAGACAAATATAGTACTACAACAAAACTAACAGCTAAAGAAGCAAAACCAGAAACTACAACATCAAAATTTTCAAGAATTTAATCCAAAAAACACAAATTAAAACAAGAAATTGATGAAATCAAACAAGAAAATCCACAAACTAGAAGCAGAAATACTATGTTTAAGCAAAAAAAAAAAAATACCTTAAAAAAATGGAGGAAGCAAGTGGAATGAAGGGAATTGTGAAGGATTTAAGGGAGAAGGGGTTTAAGGGTTTCTTATATTTACTTATTTTGCGATCCATTGATTGCCCGACAAAATTATAGTGTACGACATTTGGTACATAGTATAAGAAAGAATAATTTAGGGGTAAATTTGAGATTAATTTTATTTCAAATTTAATTTGAGTAATTAGTTTTTTTTTAAAAAAAAATCCTATCGTATTATTCGTACTAAAATTGTGGAATTATTAGAATACAAATGGTGATATTATTTTCTCGTATAAAGGATGTAATAATATAATTTTGGGATTATTTTATATAGTGTTTGGTTATGGATATTATTTAATTTCATAATTATTTGATGTGATAATTACCTAATTACATGAACATTCCTATCATATTTACTGATTCTCTTTACCGTTTAAAATAATTATATATTATCTCATTAATTAATAATTTCATGTCAGATATACCTAAATATATATATTTTTGGTATCCAATATATCAAAATAGGGAAAGAGGCGAGTGGCATGGGAGGGAGGCGAGTAAGATAGTCTTCGTATTCCAGATATATAGGAAGAAAGGCAAGTGGAATAGGAGAGAGGCCAGCAAGAGAGTCGGATACATGTGAGTTCACTTGGATACAGTGTATCTGGATAAATTACACCTAATTTTGACCCCATATATTTGAGATACATGTATCTAGATACGTCAAATACTTGTATCCGAAGTTTAAATTTTGGTAAAATTTATAATATTGAAAACTCACGTCAAGGTAAGTAATTTATTACTGAACTAATAGAATTTGTGTTGTTTGTCCCTTTTTATCCAATATTTTAGAATAAATGGAAAAGGATGTTTGTTTTTGGTATCAAAAGTACTCTTCCCATATAACTAAAGGACGACAAATATTCTCCCTTTTTAATGAAAGGCTACTAGAGGCATCCAACGTATCAAAAATTTGCCTACCCTGTTTTAACTAACGTGTATATATATGTCATGATATTTCTATCGTCTTCAAATTTTGAGTCCACCTTAAAATATAAAGTAGTATTACAAAGATTTTGACATAATATATGTATTACCAAACAATGGATAAATATAATACTAAAATTTATATCAAGATCAAATTCTTATTCCACACTAACCAAAGTCTCTTTCATTTCCTTCGCTAGAATTGCTGAATTAGTTAAGAATGTTTCGTAAATATAAGATTTAATCCTTAATTTATGAAAATTTATTATTGAAAGTGAAAAATGTTAAAATATCCTTCTTCAAGGTACTCATACTCACCAAATTACACATATTATCACTTTAGCTCTTATTAAATGGCATGTATAATAGAATTAAAAGGGAAATCGTTTTAATAACAGTAATGTTTGAACCAATTTACACGCACACTAGAGTAGATAAAAATAAATACGAAGAGTGGGACATTATGTCATAGCAAATTTAACTAAACTTGTACACCCCTTTAAATTTCTAATACAAAAACAAAGGAACAAAGAAATGGTGCACTCTATATCAAAGATGTTTGTATTATATAAGCCTTTCAACTTTACCCTACAACTTCAAGAACCTCACAATGAGTTAAAAAGAATGAATTGAAACATTTTACAAGACAAATTATGTCCTGAAAATGTGT